TGCAGTGGGGCTTGTGGCATGACTGGGCCTGAGGTTGCTGGCTCCTCATACAGACGGTGGGTGTCGCCCTTGCCTAGGGTGACCAGATCACTCAGGTCAAATATCGGGACGTGTTGGGGAGGGGGGTGGCATGGCGGGGGGGGGGGGGCAGGGCAAAAAAAAAAAGTGGCAGAGCAAAAAAAAAAAACAACAACAACACACACACCCCACAAGCGCTGGAGGGAGGCCCAGGAGACGCAGGGGAAGCGCGGGGCCAGGGTGAGTGAGAGTCCGGCCTGGCCCCGAGCGCAGGCAGGACTCAGTCGGGCGGTAGGAAGAGTAGGGGGGCGGGCGGCGGCTGTTCTCCCCCACAGGCAGCGGGACTCGGGAGCAGCCGCTGCTGCAGCTCCCACTGCCGCGGGGGGAGGAAGTGGCTGATGGCTTCTGGCGCCCAGGGCCCGAACCCCCCGAGCCCGGGCCTGCTGCGGGGACCCAGCAGCACGCACGCTGTGCCCAGCCCCTGGCCAGTCGTGTCTGGTGGCTGCCCAGCTGGTGCAATCCCGCGGTGGCCCTGAAGTGGGCGCAGCAGGCCCCAACCCCCCCCGTCCCGCTCGGGTCCTGCAGGGGAACAAACGGGGCTGGGCTGCCGATGCCTCCGCCCCGGGGCCGCCGCGGGATAGCACCAGCTGGGCAGCCCAGACGCGACTGGCCAGGGGCTGGGTGCAGTGTGCGCGCTGCTGGGTCGCCGCAACAGGCCTGGACTCGGGGGGTTCAGGCCCGGGCGCCAGGGCTGCAGCCGCCAAGCTTGGCCATCAGCCGCTTCCTCCCCCCGCAGCAGTGGGAGCTGCAGCAGCGGCTGCTCCCGAGTCCCACTGCCCAGGGGAGGAGAACAGCCGCCACCTGGCCCCACGGGCCGCCCCCCTACTCTCCCTACCGCCCGACTGAGTCCTGCCTGCGCTCGGGGCCAGGCCGGACTCTCACTCACCCCGGCACCGCGCTCCCCCTGTGTCTCCCAGGCCTCCCTCCAGCGCTTGTGGAGGGAGGAGGAATGGCGAGCATGGGGAAGAGGCGGGAATTCGGGGAAGGAGCCAATGGGGGAATGAGGGGGCGGAGTCAGGGCGGGGGAGGGGTGTGAGCACTTCCGGGCTCCGGAGTATTTGCTTGTTTGTCCAGTGTCCCGACCTAACATTGGTCGGGACGCGGGACAAACAAGCAAATATCGGGACAGTCCCGATAAAATCGGGACGTCTGGTCACCCTACCCTCTCCCCACATCTGCGCCCCCATCACTGACCTGCCCTCCCACTCTCTCCTGCCCCAGCTCCTTGACCCCCAGTGAAGCGGCCAGGCCAGGAGCTGTCAGAAGGCCAGGCCCTGATGAAGTTAATCATTATCTCCCTTAATCCTGCCAGTAATCCCTGCGAGCTGGGGAGAGTTTAGCCTAATGTTCTCTGGCTGCCTGTGAGGAGGGCGCCTTGTGCCAGTATAAGGGCCAGCACCTTAGATCCAGCTGGGCCAGGGGGCGGGGATGGCTAGCCGGAGATCCTGCTTTGCCATGCTGCATTGGGGTGGGGGGGTTCCACTCCCATTGCCCCTCCCCCACGTTGGGTGCTGTCACCCTGTCTCCCATTGTCCTCACTGGACAGAGTCACTGACCCAGCTCCTCCACCTGCTCCATGGACTGGTCCCTGCCCTCCAGAGGGGGAAGTGGGAGGGGCACAGCACAGGGCCTACCGCTCAGTCCTGTGGTGCATTAGTCAGGTAGGGTCGCTCAGTAGAGGCAGAGGTGGGAAATATTCTTGCTGTTCCCCCTCTAGAGTGACTGTTGGTAGGTGTGAGCTGATACCCCCCACCCACCCACGTCCGCCTGATCCCGAGGCCAATCCTCAGGCAGGTTCTCTGGCCAGTGTCTCCTTTTGGTCTCTGCCCCAGGACACCCTGCCTACCCCTCCATCCAGCAAGAGGCTCTGATCCCATTTGCAGCCCATCTGTCCCTCTGTCCCGTCAGCATCCCTGGGGTAGAGCTGGCAGAAGCTTGTCCTATTCCCTGTGGCTCTGCCCTGGCCCCTATGAAGTCAATGGGACATTTGTCATTCAGTGTAGCCGGGATGTCAGCGTCCATCCTAGCTAGGCCCATAGATCCAGGGCCGGCTTCCTGATGACTGAGCTGGCGGGATCTTTCTTTCTCTCTGATACTAACACTCCCCATCTGGGCCAGTCGCGTGGAAATCCCCAACTGGACAGCTGTGCCCACTTGGAACAGATCATGCCAGCGGCTCCTGCTTCTAAGTGTCCACCCAGTAGCCACCCACCCTTCATCCTCTCCCTCCTCCCCCAGCCAACAACCCATCCATGCCTGCAGACTCTAACCACGCTGCTCCTCGTTTTGTTTTGCAGATGAATCGCCCCATCCAGGTGAAGCCGGCGGACAGCGAGGGCCGAGGAGGTAGTTGTCTTTTGAATACATACCCATGTGTCTTGGCTGGCTGCTCTTGCTGGGTTAGCTGCTTGCACAGTGCAGGGAAGGGCAAGGACTCACTATGCTCTTCTATTTCATCCTTCTCCCCCCCAGGGCATTTGTCTGTCGCATAGGGCCATGGAGAGCAGGGAGAAGGGATCTTACTGGTCTGCAATGATTAAAAACCCTTCAGAACCCGTGCTTCTGGCCCTGACAATTTGTGGTGCCTATAAAGCACGTGGGAGGTGGTTTATCATATAGGGAACTGCTCAGGCACTCTAGAGAATATCTAATCTAATCTATCTATCTATCCCCATACACCCCTTCTATCTAATCTATCTATCTACCTATCAGCGGGGGGTCTGGGTATCAGGGGGGTCTGGATGCATGGGGGTTGGACAGACGAGGGGCAGCTCTCCGTACAGTGACCCCTCCTCCTGAGGCTGAGAAGCAATGGGGGCAGGAAGCAGGGGAGAGGGTGTGAAGCTTCCTGCAGTCGGGGAAGATTTCTGGGGTTGTGTTTGACCCGGCCCTGGCCTGGCTGCTCTGGGCAGGAGAAAAGAAAGTCCCATCCTCCCACGCCCCCAGTCCAGAACTAGCATCTGAGTCCAGCACAAGATAGGAGCCACCAGCTGTAATGTCCCCAGCCTCCCCCCATCCCCCGCAACAATTTACCTCTCCGCGAGCTGCTCTGGGCATCCAAACTTTGATTTAGTTGGGGATTGGTCCTGCTTTGAGCAGGGGGTTGGACTAGATGACCTCCTGAGGTTCCTTCCAACCCTGATATTCTATGATTCTATGAACTGATACGCCCACACTGCCGGAGAGGGCTGTGTGACCGCTCTTGTGGTTTCCCTTTGCTTGACCATCATTTTCTGCAGGGAAGCAAAAAAACCTGGAGGGGACATGAATGCAGCATGCGCACAGTGGTGCAGAATTCCCCCAGGAGCAGATGGTCCCTGCCCCAAGGAGCTGCCCAGCAAAGTAAAGAATGAAGTCCATTAGCTGGGACTTGGTAGCAGGCTCATTAACCTGCTTGCTAGAGGAAGATAGAGACCCATTGCAGTAGCCAGGGCTGCATCAGCTAGTGCACATGTGTTCTGTAACCGGGGGGCAGTTTGACTGGCCTTCTGCTCTCATCTGCCCTCATAAAATGGAGCCAGCTAGTAGCTGCATCTGTTGGTAGCTTCCCCTGAAGGGGCCTGGGCTTGGCAGCTGGATGGCTCTGGCATAGAGAGTATACTTATAAAGTTTGCGGATGATACCAAGCTGGGAGGGGTTGTAAGTGCTTTGGAAGATAGGATTAAAATTCAAAATGATTTGGACAAACTGGAGAAATCGTCTGAAGTAAATAGGATTAAATTGAATAAGGACAAATGCAAAGTACTCCACTTAGGAAGGAACAATCAGTTGCACACATACAAAATGGGAAATGACTGCCTAGGAAGGAGTACTCCAGAAAGGGATCTGGATGTCATAGTCGATCACAAGTTAAATATGAGTCAACAATGTAACGCTGTTGCAAAAAAAGCAAATATCACTCTGGGATGTAGTAGCAGGAGTATTGTAAGCAAGACACAATAAGTAATTCTTCTGCTCTACTCCATGCTGATTACGCTTCAACTGGAGTATTGTGTCCAGTTCTGGATGCCACATTTCAGGAAGGATGTTGACAAATTGGAGAACGTCCAGAGAAGAGCAACAAAAATGATTAAAGGTCTAGAAAACATGACCTATGAGGGAAGATTGAAAAAACTGGGTTTGTCAAGTATGTAAAAGGTTGTTACAAGGAGGAGGGAGAAAAGATGTTCTTCTTAACCTCTGAGGATAGGACAAGAAGCAATGGGTTTAAATAGCAGTAAGGGAGGTTTAGGTTGGACATTAGGAAAAACTTCCTGTCAGAGTGGTTAAGCACTGGAATAAATTGCCAGGGGAGGTTGTGGAAGCTCCATCATTGGGGATTTTTAAGATCAGATTGGACAAACACCTGTCAAGGATGATCTAGATAATACTTAATCCTGCCTTGAGTGCAGGGGACTGGTCTAGATGACCTCTCGAGGTCCCTTCCAGTTCTATGATTCTATGCCCGTAGAGATGCCTACCCCTAGAGCCAGGAGGTTGTGACTGGCTGCAGGACTGTGCCTGGCACAGAGGCTTAAAGCAACTTTGGGGTTCATTTTGCTTGGCCAGGAGGTTGCTTGAAACTGACCCTGTGACGATGAGGTTCTGGCGGGACCCAACTGAGAGTGCCAACTCAGGACAAATTGCTTAAACAGGGCAGTTACAGCCCAAGCCTGGGGTTTTTCCACCTCTAAGGCAAACCAAACCAGCCAGACTAAGAGGACTTCGGTCTCATCCCACTGGCTAATCACAAGTCTCACAAGCAATTTCCTTAGACACTCCAGTTTCCCAGTATCACCACCAGTGCCACTCGTTATGGGGACAAATGGTTATGAAAACCAATACCCCCACTGGGATGGATCCTCAGTCCTTTGTTCAAAGCTTCAGCTTGTAGCAAAGTCCTTCCAGAGGTATGAAGCAGGATTGAAGACAAAATGGAGATGAGGCATCAGCCTTATATAGTCTTTTCCAACAAAGAACATCTCTTTGTTCTTACTGTGGAAAATTACAGCAAAATGGAGTCTGGAGTCATATGGGCCAGTTCCTGATACTTTGCTGAGTCTGAAGGCATATTTGCCTTCTCTCAATGGGTCCATTGTAAAGCTGATGGTCCTTAATGGGCCATCAAGCAGGCTAGGTAGAGCTAATCCCAGCTTGCCTGGGATGTCACGCAGAAGCATAGCATAAGTTTGCCATACAGACAGTATAGAGCCAATATTCATAACTTCAACTACAAAACTGATACACACAAAACTGATACACACAA